AAGAGAAAATTATAAATAAAAATGAATAAATACAAAAACGCATTTTTTTATTAGCACCTCACCTAATGTTGAGGGGTTTAGACATTGGTAAAGCAAGAGCTGATTCCGTCAAGAAATTTGGAAAATAACTAAAATTTGGACTTATATAAAATTATAGTCACCCTTTTAAGTTTAAGGTAAGTATAACAAAAATTTGATATGAAAGTACTAAAGTACCTCAAACAACCCCAACAAAATCCAAAGTTTCAAGTTTTGGACTTATATAAAAGGGTTAATCTCTGTTTACTACCATAAAGTTTCATGGTTTTCAACATTTGGTACATAAAAGTTTTTTTCATCCCAGAGTCATACCTCAAGTCTTAAATTTGGGACAGTTTCATACCTTCGTTAGTCAAACTGTTAAGTCTGCCATTAACTGATGACGTGGTGCCCATGTGGACAATGACCGGGATCCATGTTGAAATTAAAAATAATTATTTATAAAATAATTTATTTATTTAAAACAAAAAAAATAAATAAATAAATAAAACCTTTCTTCCCCAAATCCCACCCGTGACCACCCTCCCATCACCCACCCCTTCTCCCACCCCCCAAAGCTCTTTCTCTCGCACCACTCCTACCTCAACCCCCGATCCGTTCACTCCCTTTCTCTCCTCTGCACACCTACTCCACACCTACTCCACACATCCATCTTCAATTCCCTCTCCTTGTACATTCCACCAAAACCTTCAACACTTCCAGCCTGTGATGCTTCACACACAAATGCAACCCACCCTCACCTCCCTGAGTCAAAATCTGAGTCACCGCCGGTTTGACTCGGCCACAACCGTAGCTCGCTTCTTGATGACACCCAGATGTAAGGGAATGAACCCATTGTGATCCAACACCAAACCCAGATCTAGGTTGAATTGCACCAGATTTTTTACCATCAGTTTTCAATTTTTGAATTTGATGATGTTGAACTTTGTGGGTTTCTAATTTTTTATGGTTTGGGATGTGGTTTTTTTTTTTTATAGTTTTGTGATGGTGAGAATAGAGTGGAAGTGCAGGAGTCGAAAAGGGAACGGAAGCACTGGGTGCGGAAGAGAGAGGAGGAAGAGGGTGGATGTGCAGAGTCGAAGAGGGAAGGAGAGCATTGGGTGCGGAGGAAAAGAAAGGAGGGTGGGAAGGTGGACACAGGTGGAAGTGTGGGCACGGGTGGGATTTGGGAAAGAAGGTTTTTCTTTTTTTTAATAACTAAATTATTTTTAATTTCCACGTGGATAACACGTGGCGCCCAGTCATTGTCCACATGGGCGCCACGTCATCAGTTAACGACAGACTTAACAGTTTGACTAACGGAGGTATGAAACTGTCCCAAATTTAAGACTTGAGGTATGACTCTGGGATGAAAAAAACTTTATGTACCAAATGTTGAAAACCACGAAACTTTAGGTTAGTAAACAGAGATTAACCCTATATAAAATTATGCCCATGAAAATTAAACAAAGAAAAATTCAATTATCAAGAGATTCGAAGCAAAATTGAATAAATTCAAAGCCACCCGTGCTACTTAAAGTACCTTAAACAACCCCAACAAAATCCAAAGTTTCAATTTTTGGAGAAAATGAGAGAGGGGACCGTTGCATTATGGGTTTTCCACCACAGATTTGGTTATGGAGCTAATCGTAGAACTAGAGGTCATAATTAAGGGGCTAAGATGCAGAGGAAAAGCATGGACATTGAAGTGAGCAAGCCTTGTCTTAAGCTTGCCGGTGCAAGTGCTTGGACTCCAGGATTACAGCGTCGCAGTTGGAAAATTAGAGCTTGGAGAGTAAAGGAGAAAGATGAGATCGAGACTAAGAGTCGACTTCATGTGGAGGTCGAAAGATTTTTGAGGATTCCAAACCGAATGAGTGTTATGTGTGAGAATATAAAAGAGGAAGATGATAAGGAAAAGAGAGGGATTGTGATGCACATCATGGCTTTTAGAAGGGATAGAGATGGTGGTAAAATACACCTGAGCATCATTTTAATTTTGGTTTTTCTGGGAACACCTCATTGCAAGGGTATATTAGTACTTTCGTGTCAACTTTTGGTTATAATTATTATAAATTTAAAAGGGTGGCTATAATTCTATTTAGCATCCGAATTTTGGTTATTTTTCCAAATTTTCCTTTCTCCCGAAGCAACATTACAAACATAGAATGTTTTCTCCGGCCATGGTGTCCCCTAAACCTAGGTGGATCAGATTGGTAACTTTTGTGCTACGCTTTAGTTTTGTGGGCTTTGTACTTTTATTTGTTGGGAGTCTTCATCTTTCAACTGTTTTCATCTAGCGCTTGCATCATGGCCAGGAACCAATTTGACCCGGGGTCGAAGAAATTGAGTGTTTATCTGATTGTAGACCAAGAGCCTCTGCCGTTAGTTGTCAAGGAAGCCTTACGACAACTTTGGCACAAGTTGGGAGTGATTCGTGTGGCCATGGCCAAGGATAACATCTACGCAATCACGGTGGGTAAGGAGGCGCTGGCTAGGTGTTGTTCGAAAGCAACCCTTGGACGGTGAAGGGCTACGCCTTCTCAATCAAGTTATAGCCCAAATTCCACTCCCTGGACCATATCAAGGCTAACATAGCTGTTTTTTAGGTTCAAGCTCATGGCACTATCTATGCATAGTGAAAAACGCATTGTGGCTAGGCGGAAAAATCGGTGTCGTTCTTCAGGTGGAGGACCCAACTGAGGCTGGTTTCCGTGGGTTTCTAAGAATGAGGGTTGATTTTAATGCCCTTTGACCACTACTGGCTCATTTCATGATGCCCTCACCAAAGAACAGCACGTTAACTATTCGCCTCTGTTATGAGGGTCTGACGGACTTCTGCTATAGATGTTGAGGACTGGGTCATTCAAGGGGCTGCATATGGGAAACCAAGTTATCTGTGACTAGAGAAAATACGTATGGGGAGGATCCACGAACTCTATTAATTTCATCGGTCTTCACCCTTCATTTTCCACCACACTCTTGCCCAAAAGCCTTAACTGGCACTAACGAATTGCACTCGCATGGAAAATGGGACAACAGGGGGGGTTTCTATGGTATTCTTGACGAGTCATGGCAAGTGCCGACAAGGCAGTTTCAAGCGCAATCGATGATGATGCAAAAGGTTATGGAAGAGGTCGTGTGGAGATCCGTGTGCGACAATTGTCTATCTCTGAGCACTCTGAGCACTAACGATGGTGATGGGATGGGGACAAACATTGTGAACATTGGCCCTGGCTCATTGTGCACGAAACCTAGTACTGCACTGACTACTAGCGTCAAGAGACAACCTTCCCTAAAGAATCATGGGCATATGTTGCACTTTGATAACTTCAGGACCTTCTACATTCATGGCTAGTTGACTTTCGTTGTCAATGATTTGAATTTGGATAGGGTTTGTTATGATCCTACAAGAGCCACTACTTGGGCCTTCTCTAACGCCATGGGCCTTCTCAACTTTCCTCAATACTTTGGGCGATGATTATGCTGGTCCATCCAACACTAGTGGTGCGCAGATCACTGAGCTTGAGGATCATGGGTTTTCCCTCTCGGTGGTAACCTCCTTGGTCCCCTCCCAAACAAAAAAAAAAAAAAAAAAAAAAAAAAAAAAAAAAAAGAAAGAAAAGTCCCATGATTTGGTCAAAGGGCATCCTCAGAAACGTGCGAGAATCTCTTTTATTCAAGGACAACTGAAACCCTTACACTATGCCCAAAACAGAGCCTCTAGAGGACGTCCTCAAAAGAACCTGGGTGGCCAAGACTAGAAAGTGGTGACAGTGAAACCCCTCGACAATTAACTCCTTTAACCTCAGCGACGTGGTGGTGGGCTCATCCAAGGAACTTGAAGAAGCAGAGAAATGGTTGTCGGGAAGGAGGAAATCAGGAAATCAACTAATCAACTACCATCAGTGGCGGCTGAGGTTTCTCAGCCTGCCATCAGCCATGTATACCTTCTTTTGGAACTACCTGGGGCTTGGGAATCTTCGGATAGTTCAGACGCTGCGAGATTTAATCTAGCAAAAAGATCCCCACATTTTTTTTTATCTCTGAAACGAAAAGCAGTGTGCGTCACCTAAGGTATATTATGCTACAATTGGGTTTTGATCATGTGTTTTGAGTTGACTCTTGAGGGCAGTAGGGCAAACTTGCCTTTTTTGGAAAGCGAATGTCCTTATACGGATTTTATCTCACTCATTCCACCACATTGACTAGAAGATTTGAGACTGGGGATCTCCTAAGGCACCTGGCTACGGAATCATCTTTGCCTTGGGTCTGCGAGAGCGATTTCAACGAAATCCTCCATTACTAAAAAAAAGGTGGGGGTTTAAGGCCAAAAAGACCGATCCTGGTCTTCTGGGAATTGGTGGAGTGGTATGGTTTTGAAGGATGCAATTTTTCCAGATGAACCCTAACAAAGCTCCGGGTCTAGATGGCCTGCCCCCACTTTTTTATCAGAAGTTCTGGAGCATTATTGGTCCCGATGTTACCAGGGTTATCTTATCCCTCCTCTCCGGCAAAATTCTTAAGAAGACCAATTATACATATATATATATATATATATATATATATATATATATATATCTCTGATCCCGAAGCAAAAATGCCCAACGAAATTATCCAATTTCGGGCCGATCAGTCTTTGTAATGTTTTATACAAAATTGCATCTAAAGTCCTCATGAACAAGATGAAGTCCATCATGCCACTGATTGTTTCTTAAAATCAAAGTGCCTTTGTCCCAGGTAGACAAATTTTTGACAACATTATCTTCGCATCCGAAGTAGCGCACACTGTATGGAAAGAAGAAGGTGGGGTAGGAAGGGTTTTGTGGCTCTAAAACTCGACATGTTAAAGGCCTATGACCGAATCGAGTGGGGTTATTTATAGTGTCCTACTCAAACGGGGATTCACTCTCTGTTGGGTTAACCTCCTGATGCTTTGCGTGTCCATTGTCTCCTATGCTTTCATCATAAATGGTTCTCCGATGGGATACCTACATCTGTCCCGGGGTCTTACACAAGGAGACCCATTATGTCCCTACCTCTTCCTCCATGCTGAGGGTCTCTCCACCTTATTAGCCCATAAAGAGGTCGAGAGTCACTTACACAGTGTGGCGATCTCCCAACATGCTCCATCCATCTCTCACCCACACTTTGCTGATGACAGTTTGCTCTATGCTACTGCATCAACGTCTCTTAGTGCCGCATCATGGACGTGCTGCGAAAATATGAGGAGGCATCGGGACAAAAAGTTAACATCATGGACGTGCTGCAAAATTATGAGTGCCGCCACATCATGGATCGGCATGATAAATACCTTGGGCTTTCAAAGGTTGTGGGCCATAACAAAGGTGTTTGTTTCAGCCATATCAAAGAGAGACTATGGAAGAGGCTACAGGAATGGAAGGGCAAATTACTCAGTGTCGCGGGGCATGAACTCCTTGTCAAAGTTGTTGCCCAATCAATCCCGCTATACACGATGTATAGTTTCCTCCTTCCGAAGTATTTTTGTAATGATTTTAACCGCTCTGTTGCTGATTTCTGGTGGAGTGGGGCTTCAGACTCTAAGAAGATTCATTGGCTCACTTGGGAGAAGCTTTGCCTCCCTAAAGAAGAAAGTGGGGTCTGGGTTCAGAAATTTATATGCCTTCAACCTCAGCTTCTTGGAAAAACAGGGTTGGAAGAGCATCTGTAGCTCTAGGAGCATCATCGACCGGGGTTCCAGATGGCGGATTCCGCGTGGTGATAGTCAAAATCTTGGAGGACAGATGGCTTCCTCTTCCCACTCGTTTCTTGGATTTTTTCACTGAAACCACCAGACCATGCTGCACATTTTGTCTATGATCTCATCGACGATTCCCGAAACTGGAACGTCTCCCTGCTGAAGTTCCTCTTCTCAGACGTTGAAACCAATTGCATTCTCTCACTCCCTCTGAGTCTTAGAAAGCCGGACGATTGCGACAATAAAGGAAACTTCTCCGTAAAAAATGCGGATCAAGTGGCTCAGGATTGGCTGGCCTCATGTCGTGACAGGGCTTCTTTGTCTCCCACTCCTAACACCTTTGGAAGAAAATATGGGCTGCAAATTAAGGTTCCTCACAACAAAAATGAAGATTGCGGTTTGGAAAATTGGCCTGGACATTATCCCAACCCGTGAGAATATGAGGAAGAAACGTGTGAATACGGATATAACCTGCGTCCTTTGTGGTATTCAGGGTGACTCAACTCTCAACCTCATGCGTGATTGTGCTTTCGCTCGATGTGTCTGGCTTGCCTCTCCTATTGGCCACCCACCCCGTCTTGCGACTCAATCAACGATTCTCGAGTGGAGTTCCAGCTGTTCCCCACATTTAAACCCTTCACGGTTCGCTATCTGCTTAATGCTCCTATGAGCCATTTGGGATGCTAGGAGTTGTCGATTATGGAATGAATCGATGGAACCACCCCACGTAATCGCTGCCCATTCCTTTCTTGGTGGGAGGAATTTGACAAGGTTGCTTTCCCTCCACCTCAACATGCATCTCATCCGTTGGTCCCGCCTACATCGATCTTTTTTAAAAATTAATGTTGACGGTGGATGGGACGTCAACTCTATGCAAGGGGCATTGGGGTGATTATCAGGGACCACATGGGCTGTTTTGTGGTTGCTGCTGCCACGAAAATTGATTTTCCCTTGTCTTCTCTTATGGTTGAAGCGATGGCGGCGCATGCCAGTTAATTTGTTTTTGGCGACACAAAGGGGTTTCACAATATTATCCTTGAAAGTGATGCCCTCCAGATTGTGACGGACCTTTGGGACTCTTCTAGTTACTTGTCGGATGTTGGACTTGTTATTGAAGATTCTAAGGTGCTTTTGTCCACAATCACTGGAGCTCTTTCTACCCATGTTTTTCTCCAAGCTAATGGTGCCGCTCATCGTCACACTAGATTTGCTCTCTTTTCAGTTTCGAATTGTAACTGGTTTTCTTTTTGAAGAAGCCATTTTGTAATTGTTCTGGTTTGTCCTAAACGTTCTTACTATTAATGATATCGCGCACTTTAAAAAAAAATAAAAAAATAGAATGTTTTTACACAGTTCATAACAGTAAAATGCCAAGTAAACCTTCAATCCTGACAGAATTTGACATCTGCAAACTACGAACAACTCAAAATTACAATACAGAAGGATAGCGTAACAAATCCCAAATACAAGAAAAACCCAAAAACAAATTAGCAGCCTTTGTTCGTCAAAGCAAGAATTTAACAAAAACAGGATCTGGTGCTTCTACAGATTAGAACAATTACTAGAATTTCGATTCAATAAACTAAGGCTTCGTCATTTGTGCCATAAATGAACATTTCATACTAGGCTTCGTGCCCCGATAGCAGCAATAACCAAGAAACTCAAAACAAACGAACGATCGAGTAAGTGTATCTTTTTTTTTTTTTTTCAGTGACAAAAGTAATTCATCACGGGAAGGGGGTTCCATTCAGAAAAAAGATAAGATCATGCCCTACAGTTTTGTTTGCCGCTATCAATAATGTCTATTACATATATTAGTTTCGAATACCCACTAAAAGAGATGTGAAAAAAAATTTGAAAGTAGCTTCAACTCGTTATGTTCTAACATGACCACTGTTGTTAATTCTAGTCAATCACCAGGTAGAAGTCACTTGAAAGAGAAGAGGCTTCGTCACCCTCTGATGGAGATGGAGAAGGGAAGTACAAGGGACTGTCCTTGTGCAACGAACGCCACTCATCAATGCATGAAATTTGGTGCAGGTCCATACTTGGGGGAATTCTATGGTCTAGAATATTCAAAATGTTTTCAGTTTTGCCAAGAATGTAAACTGCATGCCGCACACCCTCCTCCCTCTCTTCAATGCCGATGCTCAGACACTTCCTCTTTATAACTAGACGTAAATTAGTGAGACAAGCAGCCATTATGTCCGAAATCATGACATTCAGCTCTTCGAATAATCTCTCACCTGTCTGGTTGATGCTGCCTTCATAATTCATCAGAATAGTTTGACTTATCCTATACATGGAATTAGCAGCCAGTTCTCTAACAGGCCATTTTGAAGGGTTATCTCTTAAACATGCATTCGTAGTCATATGCTTCTTTCTAGACTCTTCAAATATAAACTTTGCAGTCTCAGCAAGTCCTTCAAGTATTTCCTTTGAGCTCTTCCCCTCAGGTGACATTTTACGGAGATCCACATCTAGCCATTTGTGATAGAGATCAACTCCTTGCCACACTGTAATTGCTGCCTTTCTGACATTGGTGACATCTTCTTTACCATCCAGGTAATTTTCAATAAAATTTATGTACATGAGCCCTTCGTGAACACCATTTATCAGCTCTTCAATTGAACTACTGCTGATGTTTGAAAGTGCAAGAGCAATACTTGTAAGTGTCACGACAGGTAGTGCCCAACAATTTGGTGGTTCTTCCATGTCTAGAGAGGGAACTTGTTCACTGTCAAAATTGGCAACTCCCTTGAATCCTTGTGAAAGTGTTGATTTCTTTAACAGTTTCATGATATATTTAGGCTCTAGCTTCTTTCCCCTTCGAAACCAATGATCGGTAGCATCATAGTTGCTTCTCATCATGTGGTGCACCAATGCATCCTCACCTTCAAGATGCAGAACGTACCGGCTAAGATCTAGCCTTGGGTTTGGCCCTGACTCTGTCCCCGAATCATTAAAAATAGTGTTGACATTGGACTTCCTCTGTTTGCAGAAGTCGCAGCATAACAATATCTTGCTAACAATGAAGATGGAAATAAGCCGAATGGCCTTACTCACTATGACATTGCCCGTCTGCATTGAGATACACAAGTCTAAAAGTTTGTTTCTTATGCCGTGAACAAGTTTCCTGCAGTGCCTATTTCTGATTCTCATTGATAAAGGGCATTCTTTCAACTCTAACAGTCCCTGGGTCCAGTACTTTTCTACTTTAAGTTCTTCTCTGTAGCTTTTGTTTCCTCTTTTTGCGCATCTGAAATTTATGGCGGTGAACCATCTTGATGCAGGACCGATTGTACCAACTGCTACTGCAGTGGTCTGCACAGTAAGAACCAAAGTGGTTGACCACTTGTAGTCAGACTTGCCGCTGCAAAATGTAAATGACCAGGGCATCAAGTAACTCCGAAGCATTGCTTCTGCTAAAATCATGGCACTCAAAAGACAAAATGCTCCAGAAGCCGTGCATGTCGCTGAACGCCCCACCACAAACTGGGGACTAGAGGTATGAGCCATCATCCAATGTTTCATCAGACAGTCTTTAAGTTTGGTAACCACTGGTCTACCTGTTTCATCTCTGGCATCTTTTAGAGCTAATTGGTACTTTTTATTGTACTTGTGTTCTAAATATCGTTTACATACGGGAATGGTTAAAGCAGAGAAGTTCATCATGATAAGTAGAACAAGCATGATGAACATGATGAAAGCATGCTCCATGCAGAAAACAAAGATTGCACCAGTAGCTAATTGAATGCAAATATTCACGATAAGGGTAACAACCAGAATTCCAAAAGCAATTGCATTCATCATGATTTCTTTATTTTTCATGACTCCAAGAGAAGGCATGGTGTTACCCATTACTGTGCAGATCAAGACAGAACTGCTGAGCTTTGCGAGCTGATCCTGGCGGCCAGGCATCGGAGTATTGAGATCCACCGACAGTTTAATTGCAACACCGATCAAGGTCAAAGAAGTTGCATTGATGGAGAAGAACTTGCAAGGGAACCAGAGTTTCCAATGTCGAAAGCCATGGATAACATCGGCGGCCATCGCAATTAGGCAGGCTAAGGTTGCAGCTGCTACATAGATGCCAATCCAAGGCATAGGAGCACTGAACTTGTCCTGGTTCAGATTCCCGTCGACGTCGCAGCCGCCCATCTTCTTCCTCAACTTGTGAATATCTTGTGTGATGTTTTCTTGAGCAGCGTTTGCGTTATGATTGTGTGTGTTGCCGGTCCACTTTGTTAGCCTTAATATCTTGCTTTGTTAGCCTTAATATCTTGACTATGTTAAATTTGCCTTGTTTTCATTGATGAACTTGACCCGTTTCAGACCACTTAATGACTAATTCAATGATGGCTGACGTGCTTGATTATGTCACCACCACCCGATGAGTGTCGGTTGACAATGATAGCATATAGAATTATTAGGTTTTAATCCTGATTAGATCGAGGATTAGTCTTTGTCCTATATGGAATGGAGGCGGGCCCTCAATGAAACGCACTCACTCAGATGATAAGAAAAGTCGTGTGATAAAAGAGAGGATTGTGTGAATCCGTTGGCCAAATTATTTTTCAGTTCAATGGATTGGCTCTAGTCTACAGTCAGATGAAAGAATCGCCAGGAGTTTGCATGAGAGTAGACTTAACTGCCTTAATTATGGTGGAATATTTTCCCAAGTGGTTTGGCCAATGGTGGGTCAAGAAATATTGAATGGCGATGCAGACCAAGATACGAAACTTCAAAATCTTGGTTCTAGTTTTATACCTTACGACCTTCCTCGGAATTTAGCTCTAACTTTCGTTGCCATGTGGCTTTTCAATTCAATATGTAATGTCATGAAGAGATAAACTTGTATATGCCAATGTATTATTGCGACTAAAAAGTCAAAATGACATATAAGGTTTGGAAAACCCTAATTGCTTCTAATTTCTTTAGATTGTTTGACTCACAAATTCCACATAACATAATTGCGTATTGCATAAATGTGTGTGTGTGTGTGTTTATCAGAAAGAAAAAATAAATATAGGGGGTTCATGCATCATAGGGAATGTTTTCATGCTTCTAGTAAGAGCGTCTTGATAACGTGTTGTATGCCTAATTTATTAAACAATATAAATGACAAAGAGAGGGGTGTGGCACAAAGAGAGAGAGAGAGAGAGAGAGAGAGAGAGAGAGAGAGAGAGAGAGAGAGAGGGGACAGATGTGTAATTGTGAGGTGTGTGTTATGTCACCTAATTGCACCTTTATTTATATTAGTAGAGAAGGTAAATTCTTTACCCCAATAGAATTACAACTCTAACAGAATAATATCTAGCCTAAGATATATGATAGAATCTACTAAGGATATCCTAGATATGATAGGATTTGCATAATCACATCCCTAATCTAATAGGATTGCAACAAGAAAGGCATTTTTATTAGCATCTCACCTAATGTTGAGGGGTTTAGACATTGGTAAAGAAGTAGGAGATGATTCCGCTGGGAAATTTGGAAAATAACCAAAATTTGGACCTGTACAAAATTAAAGTCTTCCTTTTAAGTTTATGGTAAGTATGACAAAAATTTGATATGAAAGTACGAATATACCTGTGAAAATTAAACAAAGCAAAATTCAATTAAAATCAAGCGAAATTGAATAAATTCAAAGCTACCCGTGCTCCTTAAAGTACCTTAAACAACCAAAAACTCCAATTCAATAAAAAAAGAAAACAAAATCCAAAGTTTCAATCTTTGGAGAAAATGAGAGAGAGGGGACCATTTCATTTTATGTTTTTCATAGTGGATTTGGTTATGGAGCTGATCATAGAAGTGAAGGTCATAATTGAAAGGTTGAGTGGGGGAGTGGGGGAGGAAGAGCAACGGACATTGAAGTGAGCGAAGGCCTCGTTATAAGCTTGGTGGTGTGATGAGTCGATATTATACCATATGTTTTTACCCTATTCTTAGTTACAATTTATTGGTTATTTTAGTAGAATTTTGATACTTTATTATGTATTTTCAATGTAGGATATGCAACTTACTCTTGATCATAAAATAATCAAACGGATGAATTTTGGAGTGATTACGATTGAAGGAAGTCCATGAATCTTTCAAGACGATTGTATCAAAATTCCAGATTTTTCTACCAAGCCTGTTGACCATGGTGAAGAAAAGAAGGTCCAACGCACAACTTTCCCAGAATGACATTCTTGGACGTTTTTGGTATTTTGAGGTCAATATGGTATATTTTGAGGAAGGTTCCTTCTAAGGATTTGTTGGGGACATCTTAAGCTTTCAAATAGACCTTTTGGGACCAAATTGGAGTTGCTTTGGTCAGTCAAAAGTCTGTTTTTCTAAGAAGTCCGAATTTGACTTTAAATAGGAAACCTTTTATTTGCTAGTTTATTATTTTATTATGTTTCCTAGTTTTATTCTAAGACCATTTCTTGGTAGAATTTTATCTTGTAGTACAATAAATAAGGCTATTTGCCCATTAGGTTAAAGAGGATCAATTTGGAGAACTTTGCTAGGCTTTAAGGATTTGTACTCTTTGTGGAGCCAAAATAATCAAGAAAATTATGGAGGCGACATATGAACTTTTGGGTTAAAAAGGCAAAATTACCCTCGAGGCACACCAGGATTCCCATGCGCAAGCAGTGGACAATAACGGCTCAATCAAGGAAGAGTCAAAGGTGATCAAAATGGTATTTATTCAAAACCCTCTCATCACTCCTCATCAAATCCTCACCCACAAGATAACTCCCAATTATTCTTTTCAAATTGAGAGTAATTACCAAATTACTTGATTAATTACTAAATTAATTGGGAATACAAAATAAAGAAAGAGACATTGGGATTACAAAACCGTAAGGAATCAAAACTGTAGGAGTTTATTTGGGGTGCAAAACTGTAGGTTCAAAACCGTTGGAAATCATAAAGAAAAAGTAAAACGGACGAGATCCAAAACGGGAAAAAAAATCAATACGGAATGGTTATGGAAGGATTATGGATTAAGACTTATTCTTCTTCTCTATACAAAGAAAGAATCTCAAAACATATTTATATGGTGCCAATTACTCCTTATTAACTGATGAGGTTAATAGCAATTAACAATTAATATTTCTAATAAAACAAAACATATATATATATATATATATATATATATATATATATGAATAGTTAAATAAAAACATAACTGCTCCAACAATCCCCCACTTGTTTTTATTTAAAAATTCTATATCAAGCAACATATCATAAAGCTATGCATAAGTCAAGGTGTTTCTCAACTTGAACCTGTACATAATGTTAGTGATCCAGATTATACTAGAGTAACTTATAGTTTTGAACTCTATCTCTGACAACACCACACACACACACAACTTTATTAAGGTGAAGTTCAAAAGGCCAACACATTACATCCATGTGCTTGTATCCCAGTATAGCGAACGCTCTACAAACTTGCCCAAGATTTCATAGAAAGCGGCCTCACTTCCACATTCTCATAGGTAAGACTATCAAGGATATTCCTGTAGCTAGATATCCCACTCAACATAGAGTATAGACCTTACTAAGAGAAAAAATATTTCATCCTAAAAACACTTCAGGATGTCATGCTTCTTAGGGATGGACATGGAATAATATTCCAAACTAAAATTAGCAAGACACTTATATCACTTGCGACTTGTTATTAGCTATTACCCTTTGAACCTATTTCTTAAGATCTCCGATCTATAGGTTGGGTTTCCATCACAAATGACTCAATTTTCTAAGGGCTTTAGTCCCATCCCTTTCAAGGTTTTCCAAACCTTTTCTCGTGCTAGTCCTTTCGTCAAAGGATCAGCCAAGTTTTCTTCAGACAGTATATGATCTACTCTTACAACTCTATTAGACAGATAATCTCTTACAGTGTTGTGCTTACGACGTATTTGTTGCCTTTTCCCGTTATAATAACGGTTATGCACTTTGGCTATTACCGCTGTGCCATCACAATGGATCAAAACTGTTGGAATCAGTTTCTCCCATAAAGGGGTATCTGACAGTAGGTTTCTCAACCATCCTGCTTCTTTGCTTGCCGTAGCTAGTGCTATTAATTTTGACTCCATAGTAGACTACACCAAGATAGTCTGTTTCTTAGACTTCCATGACACAGCCACACCACTAATACTAAAAATATATCCACTAGTGGCTTTAGAGTCATCTGAAAGAGTATTCCAATTAGCGTCACTGTAACCTTCTAGGACAACGGGAAACTTCTCATAGTGTAATATGAAATTCATCGTTCTTTTAAGGTATTCATAAGCCTCTCTATAGCATGTCAATGCTCCAAACTAGGTTTGCTAGTAAACCTGCATAAAACTCCTACAACATAAGATATATCAAGCCTAGTGCAATCAGTAGCATAACGAAGGCTACCAATAATACTCACATACTCAGATTGTTTAACACTGTCACCAGTGTTCTTGAACAATTTTACACTAGGATCATAAGGAGTAAAAGCTGGTTTACAATCAAAATAATTATACTTTCTTAAAAAAATTTCTATGTAGTGAGATTGATCTAAAGAAAACCCATGTTTGGACCTAGTTATTTTCAAACCAAGTATTACACTAGCTTCACCCAAGTCTTTCATATCAAAATTAGCACATAACAAAGATTTGACATTATTCACAACATGAATATTCAAACCAAAAATGAGCAAATCATCCACATATAGGCATATTATAGTGCATATATTATTTTCAGACATATAATAGATGCATTTGTCGCTTTCATTTATTTTAAAACCATTTGAAGTAACCAAACTATCAAATTTCGCATGCCATTGTTTAGGGGCCTGTTTCAATCCATAAGGTGACTTATCTAACTTGCAAACTTTATTTTCTTGTCCTGGAATAATAAAACCCTCTGGTTGATCCATATATATTTCTTCCTCTAATTCACCATTTAAGAAAGTTGTTTTAACATCCATTTGGTGCACAACAAGATCATGAATAGAAGCTAAATCAAACAATACATGAATAGAAGTTATTCTAGTCACAGGTAAATAAGTATCAAAGAAATCTGTAGTTTCTCTTCATCTATAGCCTTTGGCAACAAGTCGGGCTTTAAAATTTTCAACTGAACCGTTAGGTTTTAATTTTCTTTTAAGAATCCATTTGCAACCTATTGTTTTGCAACCAGGTGGAAGATCCACCAAGTGCCAAGTTTGATTTGACTCGAGGGAGTCCATTTCATCATTTCTAGCTTCTTGCCACAAGTCTACATCTAAAGAAGTTAAAGC